AAAAGAAAGAAAGAAGAATAAGAATATAGTAAGGAAAGAGAAATATTTAATGAAGTGTTTCCCAACCATCATCAGAACAAGTATAAACAATTTTAGTAACTTTTCACCTTCTCTTAAATTGCAACAAATGATCTCTTCTTCCCATATCCCATCTCTTATCTATAAACAATTCCATAAAGCATCATCATGTTAGTCCTGGGGTCAGCAAAAGTCCATTAAGGGTTACCAGAAATAACAACATTGAGCAAATAAACCAATTTTATATTCTTTCCTTTTAGGGTCAGCCTTCTAGACTGTAGCTACTCCCACGGAATGAATAATTATCTGAGGTGCACTCAGCTCTGATTAGCAATGATTCACAGAGTGCGTGGTCCTACAGGGCCTTCCCTGTAGATAGCCTTGTGAATCATTTCAGTTATGAAGCACATCATTAACGTCTCTCTTTAGCCTCTCCCCCACACCATTCCATGCTTTTCAACCTCTGGATTCTGGATCTGTTAAAGAGCGATATAACTGGAGACATCAAGATCACATGCTGTCTTCCCAAAGCCTTTGGTGTGATACTCAGAGCTTCTTCAAAGGTTGCCGCCAATTTGTAATTTTTATTGCAACAGAAGGGAAACTGATTAAATATAAATGGAGCAATCATATTAAGTGCATTGTATTAATTTAATGTAATTTCAGCAACACTGAAATTAAATTGACTCTATTTTAGTTCTGGCCATGTTGGTTTGAAACATGTCCCTGTCATACTGTCCACAGTCCAAATATGGCCCTTGCCCTGCAAACAAACAAAAAAAGTACATCCCTATGTTAGAGCAACAAACAAACAAACGAAGCAAGCAACTAACTGGAATATTTTTGTGATCAGGATTTAAAAAAAAAAAGATGCTCTGAACACGTACAACTTTACATTTCAAACTCAAATCATGGCACATCATGACTGCAGGGCTAAAGTAGAGTTTGCTGCTGCTGTTCTAACAGACACTTCTACTTGGGAACAAGCAGATTTTATTGCAGAAAGGAATATTATTTCATTATAAAAACAATGCAGAGAGCATCTATAATTTTGCACATGCTTGTCTGTTTGCCTCTTGTCTATAAATAGTGTTTAAAGATAAGAAAGAATGTTGCTGTACCCAACATTTAGCTCCCATGGGACTCAGTAACCCATGATGGTCTTGAGAGTTTATGCCAGGCTTGTTTGCTGCTTTCCTTATTCTCTGCAGATCTCTGGGTGATCACTTGGGAGTTCCCTGAGCAGTAGGGCCCTGGAAAACGTTATAAGT